CATTGAAATGTGTCACATTTGATTATAGAGTTTGGAGCCCACTCCAAGTTATACATGTACATCTTCGAAGAGCTACAAAGTCGAAACATTGGTATAGTTCTCTTTATAATTTTTAATGTTAATCCAATTGATATCTACTTAAGAGACATGAGATTATTTAGTTTTCTTGTAGTTGAATTTTTTTTGTTTTTTAGAAGGAGTAACAATGATGACTTGGTTCTAGTTCATATTTCTATGCTGATCTTTGCTATCATCTTATTTTACGAGTTTTACCATTTGTCCCAAGGTCGTGTATATACAGAGTTGTTCCATTTCGAATATGTCTTCTTGAAACCAACGTCTTCCTGATCACATATCTCCCACTGTTTTGAGGATTACTGAGTAAATGCCTTGTATCGTTCGCCGTTTCATTGAGTTCTCATTAGATCACACATGTATTAAACGAATTTACCGTAAGCTGAACGTAGCAGTATCGTTTCATCATATCGATCGTAACAAAAACTTATAAGTTGATCATAGTGTTATTGTTAACTGATTAAAATAGAGTATTAGGCAACAGTTGGCATTTATTTTAAGTATCACCTGTGATTCATATTTATCAAAAACCACGCTGAAATCAACTTCTAAACTATTCAGTTTATAACATTATCTAGTAAATGGAGTACACCCACTAAGATATTAAGTAAGAAAGATTAGTTCAGTGAAGAGTTCTCTTGTCGGCGGATTCATTTTCAAAGCTGTAAAATCACAAATATATATCAGGATGATAATAATTACGATAACAATAATAATAAATTCACTCGGTATTGTTTTACTTGTATCTTCCCATTGTTATTTAGGAGTGCACTTGATCAGTCTCTTGTTGGCAATATTATGCCTACTGTGCGTACTGTCTCCATATAGCCTTAAGTCGCAAGCTTGATAAGCAAAGGATAATAATGGCTAGCAGTGGAATGCAGTTTGACACGTGTTTCGTCCTATTTGGGACTTGTTTAACTGGATGTACCCGCATCCCAGAGTTGATGTTCACCCCAAGGACTCAAACCTACTACCGTTCACTTCAAACACCATCGCCGTTATCCACTTAGCTACTAAGTCCTGATAGTCATTGTGATTGTACAGCTTTAATAATGAATTCACTGAAAACAGAATACTTCGTTCAACTAGTCATTCTTATAAAATTATCATCAATTATTAAGGACATTAATTCATTAAAACTCTATTCAGATTTAATCATTAATGACTTTTCTAAATCATAACAATCTAAGATTTTGATAGATTCATTATATCTAACACAATATACAATACTTACCATTCAACTCGATCACATCCCATTGTTTCATAATTCTAGTGAACAAAAAATTCTAGGGACTATATTTTGAAATGAAAAAACTTATATTCACTTAACAAGATCAGATCTCAACTTATTTCGATCATATATATATATATAGATTATCTGTCAAGGAATGCAACAGTATTATGGAACATGATTCTATGTTAACTCAGTAGGAAATCAGTTAGTTATATTGTAATAGAAAATGAAAACAAAGAAAGTAATGATAAAATCAACTTGAGATGATTTCATTTCAAATGGTAAATGATTTTCAACTGTCATAATTGTCACCTTAGAATAAGCAACTTATTCTAAAAATATAGATGTGGAATGATAAATAATTAGCTGACATCCAATGGTGTTAATATCTAACTTCAATCAATCTACGAAGTTGTGCCACCGTATACCGTAGACTGATAGGTCCTGGGTTCAAATCTCGCGGAGTGCGGGATCATGGATGTGCACTGCTGAGGAGTCAAATAATTAGTTAGTTTGATTAGTTCATTCTACGGTGTATACTACTGATATCAACAGATATAAGTAATGTGTATCATCAATCGAATATGAAATACCTGACAGAAGAAGGTTAAGTTGATTGAAGAATAGAGAACAAGAACAGTGAATGATTGCTGTGGAAATGAGATAAATGTGAAATCTAAGTTGATTGATTGATTGATACTTTTGCAAATGGAGTATTTAATGTATGGTTCACAGATTTTATTAAGATGTTCTCTAATTTTGTATTCAAACACATTCGATTTACCCTACTTGGGTTTTTGCTCACGACAATTCTACAAAATAATCTGGATTGACTTGAACTATACACCAATTGACGACCAGGGAACCATTAATAGCTTTTATATTCTAGTTTAGGACTCGTTAGCAATGGATACTAACAACCATCAAGATTGTTCGTATTCAAGATATTCAGATGTTGAGGTTAGAGAATTACGTCTAGTCTGTTGATTCGTCATTTCATGATGCAAACAATCTTCAGATTGAAAATTCACTATGAAACGTCTATCCTAAATTTATTAATGATTAAATTCATTTACTTTGCTAATTCATATTTTGTTGCTTCAGTTTTTATGATAGGTGGTTGTGGGTGTTTGGTAGAAAACCCTGACTGACCTAGGTTATATCTTAATTGCCACTCGTCACTAAGGAGTACCAGCAATCTTAAGGGGACTGATACTACCAGTAGTATACAAAACTATTAAATATATAAGTAGTAGAATTTCATTAATCACTAATATAGATAAGTTTTAGGGATTTACAATTGATTGATCGCTGGGTGGTGATCAATGTCGTGTATGTCAGGTCCTTTTTAACGCAGATCGAATTCTCAGTCCTACAGGAGGTCAATCACTGCCCGGATAGCCCAGTGGTAACGTCTCTGACTGTGAAGCTGAATATCACAGGATCGAATCCGTCAGGGAGCATCAGTTCTCTCAAGATTACACGAACACCTTGCTGAGGAGTGCCAAGTAGCACAAAACCTAGGTCCAGGGTTTCCTGTTGACTACCTCCAACCACCATCCTAAGTTTTGGAAATGTTAGAAAGTTCAACAAATGAAACATAACGCATTACATTATAGTAATGAAAAGATAGAAAAATACAGTATAATAGTGATGGTTTATCGTTAAAATTATTTAGTGTCTATTGGCCGCATTATTTCATATGAAAAATATGTGACAATTTCCTGCGGAATGTAGTTTGCTAATAGTAACATTGATTTTGGTATTATGGATAAAGTACCTGACTATGTTGACTACAAAATATTCTATTCAATAATTGAAAATCCCAAACAGAACAACATTTTATGGTTGAACATTAATCGCTAAGGTGAAAATTATTCAGTTGTAAATGAAAAATATTGATATACTCAAACGAATAAAAGGGAAATCATAAACCGCATACAACTTAATAGCTGACTATAGTCTGTTCTTAAATTTCTCGTCACGATTTATGATTATTGAAGTCCAACCATGTTGGTAGTAAGAAAAATATCGTTGTTAATAATGAACTATGGTTAGACTGTAAATCAAATTGTTGAATATTGTTGATATCATGAACCAATATAAGTTCAGCATCAACTGAAAACAAGGCGGTACAGCACAGCTTTCTTGTCATATTGTGGGACTCCTTAAAAAAGTGAATCCATAACCTCATCAAAAAGGACAAAACTCAGGGCTTTCGGTTTACCGATAAGGTTCAATCTTCAGACCTCTACAATAGTGTACATGCCGAACTTTAACGAGCTCACAATACTTTCCGACCACCTGCAATTGTTTTCTGTGGCTAACTACCCATACCTGACAAGTTTTAACCTCACTACTCATAGTTTCTGATTAGGATTCCAGGAGTATGTATTTTTCTTAAAACAAATGAATATATTGAGATGCATTCTTAGTGTTATATCTTGAAGGTTGTACTTGATATACCGCGTATAATGTAAGCACCAGAACGCCAGAACCCTTCCAAGTCGCAATGAGAAGACAGAAGACTAATGAAAGCAATGTTATTCACAGAGAGTGTCAATTATAGTACAAAATTGTTCGGTATTTATAGTTTTTAGTAAGAACCAAATCATCATTACAGTCCTTCAGTCCGCATACAGGGGGTTACTGGCATCGTCCAATCAGGAAGCTACATGCAAGAATTCTAGAATATTCTTCCAAAAGGTGATTGGATGAAATATCTTTGGCTTCTTCTGAGCCTCCTACAGCTTCCTCGAGTTTACCCGTGGTCCGTCGTCACACTTAGTAACAACGATCTATTGAATTACAAAATTATCATAGTTGTTATAACGAAAAAGAGTGTTTTCTACTTGATTACTAAGTGTGAACACTAAGACTGCAATGCAATTACAGTGAGCTGAAAAATTCAACACCGAATGAAATTGTTGTCCTCAATCTCACTAACTCACCACTAACTACAATCTATATATTTCATAAAACGTGTAAGAAAATAATTATATCGAAGCAATCTACACAGGACACACTTCTACCAGTAAAAAATGATGAAACTTCTGTGCTGAATGTTAACAGTGCAATGATTCAATCGCTTACTAACAATAATCTAAACATCATATCCAATGACGAATTTAGTAGTTATTTGAACTAAGTAGCTCAGTGTATGTATTGCCATTAAAACTAAAGGGTGCCAGATTTAAGTCTCATTGTGAACATTAACACTGGTATTCACATTCCTCTACACGACATAAGTCATAAATAGGATGAGTGCCAGGTCAATCAGCAATCAACAAGCACTTTGAAATAGATCCAATATATATCAACCAATCAGGAAAATTATGCACAAATATAGGAACAAAAATCAAACCAATGGGAGACACAACCAAAACAAAGGAGTAAACAATGACAAATGTAAGGTCAATAAGGACCAACTTAACGTCAAGGTGTACAGAACAAGCTGTGAGACGCATATGGAGAAATTTGAACACTTCACTTCTATTTGAAGTTTGTGCTGATGATGTCGTTCAGAAGAACGATGAAAGCTCCACAACCAAACCATCCTGCTTAGAGAACAAAACTCCATCAAAATCATCTACCTGATCTACAAATCTTCTCCACCATAGATCCATCTATTCTATAAAAAGTACTTTATATAACTTTTTAATTGTATTCTTTTTTTTGAATAACTTACTTGTTCACATTTTGTTTGTAATTCTGGTTTATTTGAATCCAATTGATGATGATTCAGATTTGACCAAGAATTATTATTATTATTATTATTATTATTATTGCTACTATCGGGAATACTTATTATTGGATAATCGTCTGATAATTTACTTTCATTCAAGAATAGTATATTATTTAAATCAACCGGTAAGATGTAATTAGTATTCGTGTAATTATTATTATTATTACTGTTTTGTTCAAATTGTAAAGATTTAATAGAATTCACATCTAATTGTAGTTCATTGCATCTAATTGAAATAGACGACGACGACGATGATGATGATGATGATGACGACGACGACAAAGAAGAAGAAGAAGACGAAAACGAGAACAAGGAAACAGAAGAAGTTGGTAATAATGGAGACAGTTCACTTGACAATGAATTCATTGTAGTTTTTAATGATAAATCAAATGATAATTTATCATGACTATTTATTGAAATACATTCTAATGATTGATTGATTGAATTATTATTATTATTTGAATAAGTTGATAACAAAGATTCATTTTGTTGTGCGGTGATTATCGGTATTGTGAATTGTTCATCTATTGATGAAGTACTCCATAATGGTGTAACATTTGAATGTTTACACATTTCTGTTAAACTATTTGGTATATTCGGTATATTAGGTATAATTGATGTATCAGTTGAATACATTAAGCTAGATGTTATACAGGGTGAAACAATTGAATGATCATTCATAAAATTGCACATTAAATTATTTTTAGATAAATTATTATGTAATATTATTGCCGAGGTTAAAGATGTTGTTGTTGTCATTGGTGGTGGTGGAGGTGTTGTTGTTGTTGGTGGTGGTGGTGGTGGTTGTGTAAAAGCTGATGGTGATAGAATTTTCGAAGGTGGTTTTAATTGATTTGTACTTTCTTGTTGTTCAATCAATTCAGTAGAATCAGTTAATAGAATGAGGTCATCTAGGTTTTTTTTAATGAGAGTAAAACAATTATTCAATGAAATTTACTTTATTAATGTATTTAATAAAATATGAAATAATAAAAATTGATTTCATTCAAGATGTACAATAATTCGTCATGACAGTCATAAACACAAATCTGTTAACCGCATTCTTCTTTCAGCCTTTTTCTGGCCGAGAAAACATAAACCATCTAGTTAAACAATTTTTACTCATACAATATAAAGAATTGTACCACTATTCTGTTTTCAAAAAGATGATGATAGTTTATATCACAAACTGATTTTGAATGAAAGAATTATTAAGGGTTAAGCATTCGTGTGAAAGACTGATGGTTCTAGGTTTGAATCCCGCGGGCAGGATCGTGGATGCGCACTATTGAGGAGTTATATATTAGGATGAAACGGCCGTTTAGTGCTTCCAGATTATTCATGGTGGTCGAGATTTTATCGACCCAGCCATAAATGCTGGTTTCTGGGAATTTATTTCTTTTCTCTACACATATGATTAAGACATTATATCAAATAAGAAATTATTGATTAACCAAAAAGCATTACATAATGAGGTGGTGGAGAAGATTTGTAGCTTAGGTGGATGATTTTGATGGAGTTTTGTTCTCTGAGCTGGATGGTTTGCTCAGAAAACAAAACTCCATCAAAATCATCCACCTAAGCTACAAATCTTCTCCACTATCTAAAAATCATATGAGCGTAGTACGCTTTTCGTTGTTCGAAAATGGGAGAATTGAACCAAAAGACAAGCTTTCACTCGAGAACAACTATATTTTCTCTATAAGTGACTTCGTTAGCATGTTCATCCAACAAGTGGAAGATACGATCCCCAATCAACTTCCCATTGGGATGGAGAATAGTACGACCAAACCAACCACCTCAGAGAACAAAACTCCATCAAAACCATTAGATAATATTCGTCAGCTTTAATTGAAGATTTTATTCAAATATATATCTACCAGATATCGAAGAGTCACGTTCAGAAGATTAAGAAAAACACAAGTCCTTGCGTTTAACTTAAGGTCACTCCTACGTCTTAATATAAAGGAAAATAAGATTCGAGAATTACTAGCCAAGATTTATCTCTTGTCAAATATAATAACTGTTCCGATATTGAACATTGAAACCCGAATGTTTGTGTCTAATTCTCATGGTCAGCTTTCTAGCTGACATCACTGTATTAAAAATAAAGCTTTTATATGAATCACTCTTGGAATAAATCCATCTTTCTACGGTAGTATTTCGATGAGTTGACGAGTACTATGTACACTTTAAACACCAACATCTTGAGTGAATTCTAGTCTTAGATATATGTCTATTCTGGGACTCTAAACGTAAAGATGGCTAGAAATAAACTGAAGAACTTATGTTTGGATGAACTAAAAATATCTGTATTTGTACAATAATAAACAACATTGTAATTCATAAAGCGTTATGAAAAGAGGCTGCATTGAGTGATTGTTGAGTGAGAATAGACAAGGAATAAGCAGCCTTTGTTTAGATTTTTAATGGACATTTACAAAGAACACTGATGATTACACTAAGATTTTCTATAGCTGTCATAGGAACAAATCATTTAATGTAATTTGCTGTATTCTGACCCTCCTATCGCAAACGCAACAACAAATGCAGGAGAAGACGACCAGTGTAGCAGCAGCCTCAGCAGCAGTAGGTCTCAATATAAACAAAGGGAAAAGTAAGATTCTCCGATACAAAACAACATACAACAATCGAATCACAATTTATGGAGAAAATTTGGAAGATGTAAAAACCTTCACATATTTGGGCAGCATCATTGATGTACATGGTGGATCTGATACAGATATGAAGGCACGGATCGGTAAAGCAAGAGCAGTATATTTACAACTGAGGAACATCTGGAACTCAAAGCAACTGTCAACCAACACCAAGGTCAAGATTTTCAATACAAATGTCAAGATAGTTCTAATGCATCAGGCGGGAACTTGGAGAACTACGAAAGCCATCATCCAGAAAATACAGTTGTTTATTGACAGCAACAACCTACTACGGGAGAGAACGAACCAGATCCCAGTGGAGGAAGAAATCAGGAACAACCGCTGGAAGTGTATAGGACACACATTGAGCAAAGCAACGAATTACTTCACAATGCAAGCCCTCACATGGAATCCTCAAGGGCAAAGGAGGAAGAGAAAAGGAAGACCAATGAACGCATTACGTCGAGAAATGAAGACAGACATGAGAAAAATGAACAAGAATTGGATGGAACTAGAAAAGAAGGTCCAGGACAGAGTGAAATGGAGAATGCTGGTCGGCGGCCTATGCTCCATTGAGAGTAACAGGCGTAAGTAAGTAATTTGTTGTATACTTAATACTTTTCATCATGAGGCTCAATCTCGTCTCGTTACATATAGAAAAAACTATGATGGTTCAAAATAACGACATAAGTATTTGAATTCGTACTATATTTACAATGCTTATCACTTCCTTGACTGAATTAGGCTTAGTGAATGGTTTTACTTACTTATTAGTCTTCATACATTTTGTTCGATTATTTTTATTCCCCTCTTTGCCAAATCCATTCTTCATTGTCTAATTATCAGAACACTTCTCATTACTTATTTTTATTGGTTTTTTTCAATGAATGTTAATTCAGTGTCTATTTTTCTGGGTCACTCATCAATTTCCTATTACGAAGCATTGATTGTGTAATGTTTATGTAATCTGTTTCACTATAAACACTAAGTCTTAAATGCCTTAATTAGAATAGTGTATCTCATACATAGACATGCCTATTACTTTATATTAGAGCAAAGTTTGATGAGGATCTAAATGAACACTAATTAATCCATAGTTTTCACTTGATTCTCGAAGGCTTTTCCAAGGTGTTATCAAGGAATATCAGAATAATAAAAACGACTGAAAACAATTATACTAATCATATTCTATTATTTCCAAACAAATTTATTATCAGCTTTTTTGAAAATCTACTAACCTAAGTGATTGATATCATTCAAAGTGCTGAAGTCCACATTTTGGTGATGATGATGATGTTGTTGATGTTCTGTGTAAAGTAAATTCGATGAAGGTTGCTTATCATCATCATTATTATTAATTCTTGTATTTGCTATCGTTGTTTTCTTGGTATTTGTAACAGTACTACCAGAAGTTACTTTTACCATCGCTATTGTCGCTTCTGTCAACGTCGTTGTAGATGGTATGATAAGAGACGATGATGATAATAATGGTGAGGACGTAATACAGTTGACATTATTTAGAGTAGTTTCATTATTGTCACCATTTTCCGATGATGTATTCCAATCAGTTAAATTGATATCACCGTATTTATTATTTTGACATGAATTTGGAATGATTAAACTATTGAAATGAAAAACTGTATCAGCTGGAAAATAATTAGTTGCTATGGTAGTTGTTATTCTAGGACTTGTCCTATCACTTGTACTACTATTAGTATTGTTATCAGTAATTATTCCAGTGGTTACTGAATTTATAATTAAGTCTTTATCAAGATTATTTGAAGTAATTGAATAATGAACATTATTTAAAATATTTGATGTATTCAGTGATGGACTTGATGTTACGCACATAATATAATCATTTAATCGGTCATCATTAGTCACTTCTTCTTCTACATATTGTTGACGCTGTTGATGATGATGATTAGAACAAGGTGAAATAGAAGATGAGTGATGATGATAATGATGTTGCTGATGAGGAGCAAGGATTGAAGGATCTGACAGGATTTCTATCGAATCATTTGAGTTAATGTTGAATCTTTTCAAATTAATCGATTTTTCCATACAGCTTATATTGTTTTCTTTATTGTTATTATTATTATTACGATTATTATTATTATTGTTGTTGATATCTATAGGTTGATGTTCAGTTAGATGAGGCTTCAATTCTTTCGTTTTATTTTTAGAAAATTTATCAGGATTTAAGCGGTATTTTATGCGATGATTAGAATTATTAATTGTACTATTACCATTACTATTACTATTATTATTATCACTGTGATTATTATTGTGAAACGTAGTACTATTAATATTTGTTGACCATTGTAATGCTTCAGAAGATTGTAAATGTTGTTCATGAACAATAGCTGCACGTGGAACTTTATCCAACCATCGTGGTTTACTTCCGTCTTCTAAATAAACATAATTAAACCAATGAAAAATTGGTGAGTAAAATAATAATAATAATAATAATAATAAAGAATATACTTTTGTTATATTCCAATGAATAGAAAAATTGTATTTCTGAAGACGTTTCGTAACTTAATGTAAACCACTTCTTCAGAGTAAATAAGTAACCGAATAGTACAAAGGAAACAATGCAGAATATTTTAGGTGCAATGAAAATCATAATTATTCTGACCTATTATGATTTTGACCGTACTAAAAATATTCCGCATTGTTTCTTTTGTACTATTTAGACTTGGGTTAATTTAGTGTCGACTATTTATTTCCTCTGAAGAAGTGGTTCATATTAAGCTATGAAACGTCTTCAGAAATACAATTTTTCTACTCATTGGGATGTAATCTCAAAATATATACTCATTATCAACTTTCTGGTTAATGCTCAATTAGTTTGAAACTATCAAGTCCAACCTTGGCATGGATACTAATAGTAAAAATAATAAAAATATTAATACAATTGGTAAGACTATAATTTATGGACGACCTTTCAGTGACGCTAAACTGACCTTGAGAGTGTCCACCTAATAATCACGGTCAAATGAGGGTTATAAACCTGTGTGAAAAATGAGAATTATTATTTACAGTTGATGATTAAGGTTAGGAATTCGACTTAGGGTTTTAATCATAAACTGACATCAACTATAATGCCAGAACTCTATTTGTCCAAATAGATGAGTGAATTTCGCACCAAAATCCGAGATCTGTCATTTTATATCTGATTGATTCGTCCATAAATTACAGTCTCGCCGAATATAATCAAACCAAAGATCTACACCAAAACAGAGTTCAATGAAGAATGCTGGTAGGTAGCTTATGCTCTTCCATAATGGGTAACAGGTGTAAGTAAGTAAAGATCTACAAATCATGCAAAATATTTCAAAACATTTAGTCAGTGAATTAGGAATTAGTTATCTGCTGTGAATAAAGAATTTAAACCATGTTCTGTATCATCAGTGGATCTAAATTGAAATTTCTTCGTATGATCATATCTTGAAGTTGTAGCCTTTGACAAAAAAAGAAGAACAATTTCATTCTAATTTTCAGATAAACTATGATGTTCACTTTACTTTCAGTTTGTGACTATGTAAAAGAGACTAAACTTTTGTCATAATATATATAAACGTTTCAGTGGTAATAGACAAGAGATCTTTACAATGTAATAAAGTCTAATAGTTTAAATGCTGAACATAAATAAGCAATTACGCTACTATTTTTGATGGAGTTTTGTTCTCTGAGCTGGATGGTATGGTCGTGATGACAAAATGTGAGAATCTCTCCAAAAAGCAGGCTTCCACTTGAGAACAGCTGTATTTTTTCCACTGGTGACTTTGTCAGCATTTTCTACCAACAAGCATAAGATACAGACCTCCAATCAACTGCCCATTGGGATGGAGAATAGCTGGGCAAAGTGGAAGAAAAATGGTGCAGCTAAAGATAACGGATGCACATTACAGGATCCGCAAATACCAACACGTCATAGAAGACCAAAAAATGAAGCTACAAAGGACGCTCACGTCAGAACAGTTGAAAGTCTTGACAACAGCCATCGAAATATCATGCAAACGACACAGAGAACAAAGAAAAAACACACAACCAAACCATCCAGCTTGGAGAACGAAACTTCATTAAAAATTATTCTACTAGTTTTGTACTTGTAAAGTGCTTATTAACCGTTATTACAATTTCATTTCATTAATTTATTACATAAGTTCTATGATCTCTTTGCTCAAATATTTAGTTTTCTTTGTTCACTGTCAGAACTATTGGACTTCACAAAAAACGGTACCTCAATAAATCACATTATCATGATTTAGATAACATTCTTAGTAAATTGATTTCATTTGAGGTACTATTGAAAATCAAGAACAACTGGACAGTTTTTCTGTCTCATTATAGAATTCCATAACGCTCCTCATTCAAAACTCCACTTAAGTTCGAATTTACAACCTCTTTAGCTCAGATGAAGACCTTAACATGTAAATCACTAAGTTGACATCAAATGATTTACACTTGGAATTGCAGTCGATTCACTATGTTAAGCGATTATCCTCTGTCGCTACTGGTGGTTCTTATCTCGTCGAATGTTTAAATTTCACCAGTTTCAACATACTAGAACTTGTTGAATTATCCTTTGAAGTAGATTGTTAGTAAGCTAATGATGATCTTGCATTGTAGAAGGTTATGAACATTGAACCTTCAGAAATATAAATCAGCAAAATGCTAGGAACCATACAGATCATGTATAGATAAACTGTGACTGTACTTAGAAATTTAAACCCTAATAAACGGACTGTTGTCTGCAAGTATGGCCTATTTATTTCAATTTTAATGTTTCATTGAATGTGAATGAAATAATCGTGTTAATAAAAGTACATCAGTTTAAAAATATACTGAAGGAGAGTTTTTAAAGTTGAATAGTTTTAAATGTTTCACTTTACTTACTTTTACGAACTTGTATAAGGTCTGGTCTCATACCAACTCGAAAACATTGTTTTAATCTACACGATGGACATTCGCGACGAGTAGTTGGTGTGATTACATGTTCTCCGGATTTCGCTGTACATGTTAATTCCTAAAAAAAACAAGAAACATAATTATTTCTCACGTAAATTAACATAGCTGGAATTATCAAACAGGGTTTTGTGGAGATTTTAGTAATTTCAATAGTTGAAATCACGAGTCAATTGAAGCTAGACCACCATGGATAACGTGGAAGCACTGGATGACCGTTTCGTCCTAGTACGGGACTCCTCAGCAGTGTGCATCCACGATCCCGATTCGAACCCAGGACCTATCAGTCTCGCACGCGAGTGCTTAACCACTGGACCACTGAGCCGTCCGGCATCTGACGGTGTTAACGTCTAACCTCAACTAATCCACAAAATTGCTCCACCGTACACCATTTTCTTCACTGAGCTGATATCTCACAACAGACCTGGTCGAACTTCACTGGTAAAGGCTGGAATTGTATTTGTTCGTTTGTATAACCCTGATTGGGATTAAAATCTCTAAATTAATTACAAAAATATAATAGATAGAGTCAAAGTATAAAGAAATGAAGAAGACAGGAGTAGAAGTATAAGTAGTGAATATTTATGAAATCCAAGTTATATATTACAAGTTATGCAAGATTTATGAAATGGATGTAAATAAATTGATTACTGTATTCAAATTTATATTGATAAACAGTCTTCAGTCATTAGAACATTTCAAGCTCAGAAAAGTGTTGATCATTGTAATTTAGTAGATATGAATTCATTCAAATGATTCGTGTTTCTCTTAATATAAATATCGATATGGGTTTAGGTAGAAAAACAGTTGAAGTTCCAACCAACATCAAAGTCTTAAAATCCTACTATATATAAATAAAATCATCGATTAGAAACTTGCATGAATTCGTGTCTTCCCAGTTTTGTTACACAATATGTTTGAAGGAAATGTGGTGAAAGATAGATGTAAGTCGATAGGGGGAGAATACATGAATACGAAGAGTAGAAGCATTTAAATCTATTTGTTTTATTTTATCCTCGTTTGCCTGGTCCTTAACCGGTAAGTTACCGGTTAAGTGATTAATACTAAGATGTATATATATTCGCAAATGAAACACTCAGTTATTTCATTAATTTTTACGGTGTCCTAGATTATTTATCCGTTACAAGCTGATTGATAAATAACACAATCTGTGTAGGTTTATAGTTTCATCAACTGATTTGCTTTAAGTAGTTAAGGGATTTGAGTCAAATCTCAACACTGTTCACTTAGTGACTTTAATATAGTAGTAAATCATACTAAATACATCTATACTTGACTAACTATAGCACATCGATTATTCTTTCTGGTTATATCGTAAAACTGAAGGATAAAAAGAAAGTAAATGTCGTACAGGCTTCTTAATAATAGGTAAATAAAAAGACGACTATCTTAGGTCTTAGACCTATTCTTTTCTGTATAGATTCTAAAATTAGAAGCCAACACTACCGGAATGATTTGACTTTTGAAATATGAATAGGGAATAAACCTTAGTGAATCCCTTTTAAATTTTGAAACTGTGAATTGTATACAAAACGTATTTACTTCACTTTTTCATTGGTATCACCTAGTTGAACTGTCATAAATATAGTTTAGTAATTTTTGAGACTATATTAACATAATCAATATACTTGTACTTATCAAAGAAATATTTCTTATAAGATAATCTATAGTAGGATTGAATACTTCAATTGTCTCAGGTTCTAAACAAAGTTCTAACGTTCCAACGTTCTAACAGTTCGAACAGCATTTCTAGATTGTCTGGTTGAACGTCGACACAATAATAAGAAGTTAAAAATAAATGTTTACAGAAAATCAACGCATTCCGAGAGATACTTGGATTTTAATTCAGCCCATTCACAGAGCACGAAAATTAATGTAGTGAAAAATCTAATGAACAGAAGTACTAAGATTGTTACAGACAAGGAAGACCAAAGAACCGAATTAAATAAAGTATTTTCTACTCTGAGGGATAACAACTACCCAAAAAGGTTTTTAAAAAAGATTATTAAAAATGAAAGAAAAACTAAACTAGAAAGTATACGAAAAGAATAGAAGTACACCGTAGTCATACCTTACCGGAGTGAAACATCAGAAGAAATCAAACGGATTCTAAACAAACATGATATAAGAGTGTATTTTAGAGCAAATAACACATTAAGATCGACATTGTTGAAAGTTAAGGACAAGTTAGCAAAGGAAGAACAACAGAACATTGTGTATGAGATTCACTGTCATGACTGTAATGCTACCTATGTTGGAGAAACATCCAGGCAATTAAATGTAAGATTGAAGGAACACAAACAATGCTTGAAAAATGTTCCAAAATCCTCGGTAGATTTAAAGAAACTTGAAAATAAGTCAGCGATAGCGTTACATGTGTTAGAAACAGGAAACAAGATTAATTTTGAAGGGACCAAAATACTTCAGAAAGGTTTTAACACCCATAAAGAAAGATTAACAGCAGAAGCTCTGTATATATGGGCGAACAAGAACAGCCTGAACCGAAAAGATGGTATTCAACTGGCAACAACTACCTGGCGAATTTCATTTGACAAGTAAAATTTGGAACCTATCTCTTGTTTAAACCTGTTTTTAATATCACATGTATCGTTATCATTATTGAAAGAACTGAATGAGTTTCTTAAACAATACAATTTATTCACTTGATATTGTTTTACTTGAATTTTCCCATTGATGTTTTTGGACTGAAATTGATCAGTCTCTTATTGGCATATGTGCATACTATGCGTATGCCTCGATATTGCCTAAATTTACTGCTAGCCACTATCCATCTTTGCTTATAATACAATTTATGTTTTGACATGCACATCGATCTTTCATTATCAAGTTTTTTATCCTTGAACTTGAACTTTATTTATTCCTTCATATCAATCTCTCACACATGCATACATACACACACACTCACACACATACGATTTGTTACTCAGTTAAGTATTTCCATGTAGTTGAATTCATCACATGATTTGTAGTCAACTGACTCATTTTATCCTATTTTACAAAAAAATCAACACCCAAATATGATTGGTTTAACACAGTATAATCCTGATTGTTAAAAGCTATATATATTTCTTTGATAATTTTGATTTTGATTATTACCCTGAAGAAGTCCAGACAAGTTACCTGGACGAAACGTTGGAATTAGTTAAATTTCAATCGCTGAGAATATTTCAAATATAATTTTCACATATAATGACTTCTCTATACTCGGCGCTCAATTACTGTCAAACTATTCGTTCTAATCTTGACGAATATTCGTATAAGTTCAACGTTTGGTTCATTGAAAAAGTACTTGAAATGGCCTTTATCTGAATTTCAATAGTTTTTGTCCAATCAGTTACAAGAAAGCATTGGTTAAAACACTATTTCTCAGGGTAGAAAGGAAATGTATCATCGACAAACTGGAAGAATTAATGAACGTGGAAAAATATCTAAGAGACAAATTTTACCCACAAAGGTTTATTGACAAATATAAAAAGCCTAAAGAAAACAAGACGGAAATAATTACGGTCAATAAAAAGTCAATATCTATAAATTCTAACTTCAAAGGTAATGATGTCACATACATAATCAACAGGAGGCTGAATACTGAGCTAGCCAGAACTTATCCGGCAGCTAAACTCTTACTTCTCCATAAAACAACTTGTTCAGTAACTCAATCAAAGGTCAACAGGCACCCCTTCAATGTTACCGCCAACTGTATTTATAAATTTACATGTACCTGCCAAAGCAGCTATACTGGCCGAACAGAAAGGAAAGCAAACCTTAGATTTTTCTTAACATGTTCCAAAATGTCTCAGAACAAGGGAAAGAAAGAATCTAAACAGTACAATCATCAAACATTTCCTTGATACAGGACTTTGCTCTTTTGCATAATATATATATATATATATATATATATATATATATATATATATATACAATATTCAATCTATTTACACCCTTTCTCTACTATACTAATGTGTCTTCAATACAACTTTCAATCAAACTCTTTCATGTATGTAATCTAAACCCATTATGTAATTATGATTCTTAAATATCACAGGTTGTAAGCAGCTGACGAGAACCAGACGAAATCAAAATGAATTCATGCTATTCTGCTAGAATCTTTGTTTTTACTCTTTTCAAAATGATAAAGGGAACTATGATGTATAAAAGCTCTAACTGTTTACCTCGTAGAAATGAAGATGCATATCTTTTGAACTTGTTCTGACTAACTTTTAGTATGTTACATTATTTTCTATGGAATAATTTAATGCAATCTCTTCACCTAACCAAAATACTACTATCATTTATTCATATTATCAATTTGAACTTTAGTTTGGATACTGAATTAGATATACTAACACCTTTGACTATAATCCATCCTACAAGTTAAACTATGGGGTAATAAAATGTCTAATCACTGTTATTACTTAGCGTCATTATTAGATTACCCTTTATGCAAATAGTTTACCTTTACACTGTCCTTGGTAAGTGAAACTAATTTAAATAACATCTATCCCTGTCAATAGATTATAAATCAACTTGAAACTTGTATAACAACAAACTTGTCCAATTATTATTTGCTGCTTATGTTTTGTACACCGTCTTGTTAACACTTATGAAATAATGTGAAGATTCTAGTGATTATACTGCACATTTAATTGATGTCATCAAATAAAAAATGAACGAGATCAGTATGTAAATCTGAATCATCTTAATCTTGCAGTAGGTAAATTGTGACAGGAATAAATCAGTGGTAATGTCTTAATCTATACAGTGGGATGGCCGTAGTTCGAGCCACACTAAAAACATTAATATCTTCAAGATCACATCTGCGTTTTGCTGACAGGTTTCAACTAGGAAGAATCATAGATCTAGAGTTTTCTGTTGACTACCTCTAAGCATCTAAAATATAAATATTACCCATGGTTCCCAATCCCCTCCAGTTATGTCTAATTTATCTAATAAAGAACTATTTTATTGATGAGACAAAATTTCACAAGCCAACTTAATAAACTCATAATTATTTTAACAGTT